CCTCGATTGGTGACGAAACGTTTGCAACAAAATTGCCAAGCTCAGCGAACAATTCAACAGCCATCTGGTTGGAGTAGCTCTCATCGTGCCCGTAGGCATTAGCCAGTATAGCTCAATGGATCAAGGAGGTACGCATTCTTCGTACTCCATTAAGGCCCAGTCTCGTCGATGATGATACGCAGAAACAACTAAGATATACAATTATTGTAATCTTGGCGCATAACAAATTGCACAATTCCCTATCTCAACAAGAAAGGGTTGCAGTAAAATCCCTAAAAGCCGATAAATGCTATTGTCATTTTACCTGCGGACAAGGGACGCGTGACTTTTATATTGAATAACGTGGATTATCTTGAAAAGGCGAAACGGTTCCTGAGCGACACAACAACCGACCTCCGCATCGAAAACAACCAAACAACGCAACTGACAAACAGAAACAGAACATTAAAATTGCTCCAGAAACGGAACCAGATCCGCGATCTGAACATAGCACAATTCTACGGGTTTCCAAAGATACACGGTACACCACTAGGACCAGTCGTATCGTTCCCAGGCACATCTACGTATAACCTGGCGAGAGAGTTGTGGAGACGTCTCAAGTACCTAACAATGGGCTCACATCACTCTGTACATAGTGCACGGCAATTTTTGGAGAAGCTCAAAGGTATACGGCTAAATCATGATGAGATAATGGTATCGTTCGACGTGACCGCACTCTTTACGTCTGTCACTTTACAGACCGCAATGCAAGCAATCACCGAACGGCTAGACCAAAGTGAGAAAACAATCGGAAAACTGACGTCAGAATCTGTGCAAACTACCTGACCTATGCCTCGCGACCTACTTTGATACTGATGGGCAGATCTTTAAGCAGGTGGAAGGAGCCCCAATAGGATTCCCTTTGTCAACTCTCGTTGTAGTGTTAGTAATGCCGAAACTTGAAGAGAACGTACTGCTCATAATCAATCCAAAGTTGTGGATCCGATACTTCGATGTTGCATTCGTGATACTGAAACGTTCAAGTAGAAGCTGCATACCAGTAACTTAATGGCACCATTGGAGGCATTCATTTTACGATGGAATCGGAGATGGGAAACCAGCTCACATTCATGGATGTGCTAGTCACCTGGACGATTGACGAAGTGTTACCAACATCGGTTTACCGGCAAGGAACATGCCCCTACCAGATTCTAAACTACTACTGAAATCACCCGAAATGTCACAAAATAAGCTGCTTGCGAACTCTTTCATAGAATAGAAACACATTGCAGCACTCCTGAGGTAAAGCGGAAAGAAGAGATATGTCTGTTCAGATCATTGCACCTAAATGGATATCCACATAATGTCGTCCGGCGATATCTAAACAGCAGAGCTACGATCTCAACTTGCTCCAACGACAACAAAGAATTGTTCTACCCTATGTAAAGAACGTCTCCGAGATGACAGCGAGATTATTCAAATAGTACGGTCTTGCAGTGGCTCACAAACTAACTGCCACATTGAAGAGAACCATGTCGAAACCCAAAGGAAGACCCGGGACCCATGGAAGACGAAATTTTGTTTACCAGATCGGATGTCAAGATTTCGATAAAAACTATGTGGGTTAGACAGGAAGACGACTGTCAACAAGAATACAAGAGCATAAGAGAGCTTTTAAGAACCACTACGCTCTCTCACTGGTTTCAATACATACGGACATCGATTCGATTGGAACAACCCAGAGGTTCTAGCACATGGAGAGACACGAAAGGTAAGAGACTTCTTCGATGCTTGGTACTCGACGCAATATTCGATAAACATGCACCTAGAGATTGATCCAGTGTACCAAACTTTAAAACACAGAGAACTAAAACACCTTAGAAACCGTGATGGGCAACTAAATGAGCCATCAACAACACATCCGCAACAGCCGTGGCAAAACCATCCCAATTACCGCCTGTGTCTTAGAGTTGGGCAGACCGTTAAAGGTCACGAAGCACAGATCGAGGAGGTCAGTTCAAAAATCACTTGCTGATCGATCACAAATCGACGAACAAGTCAGCGGATTACATTTGACCCAACAGCGCACTGAGGAAGTCACCTCGTTTGGTGATGAAACGTTTGCATCCCAATTACGAAGCTCGGCGAACAAGTGAACCCAGGAACGATCAACCCGAGTTACCAGTGCATCAAGTCATTTTGAATCTCGATATTCTTAGGACCTGCGGGTTAAAGGTCAGTACGTATTACATCCTGGTAAGCTCACCTGACTGAGTACCCGGATAACTTCTCAGTTACTAATAGAGGAAGCCGCTTGGTACGCCTTCAGGTAGGGTTCATGGGAAACGACAGCATGATCTGAGTCGACGAAAATACTCCAGGACCAGCGCCATTCCGGGATGGAACCACGCCACCTTCAACTTATGGACGCGTGATCTACTTGGGTTCATCGTTGGTCAGCTGTAGGAGGACACCAAGTAGCACTTCGGCGCCCATTGTGCCTAAAAGTCGCCTTACTAAAACAGCCAGTGCTGTGCGCATAGCTGCAACTGACGCATTCGCTGTCCATCTGCTTGCAATTATTCCCCTACTCGCTGCCTATCTCAGCATCTAAGGGGCTCAGACGACCTATTTGCGCATTCATACTCACAGCAAAGACAACGATATCTGATCTCGTAACACTGCTGAGCAACATGTTCGGTTCGTAGTAGCAAATAACCTTGTTAGCATCAGAACTCCAGTCGTTGGGAGCATAACCGGTAACCACAAGCAATTAACACCTAGCTGCACTTAGTAGATTAGTCTTTGTGGATGTTGTCAAACCGGCTGCTCACGAGAATCCAATCCACCAACAATAACTCATCATTAGAGCTTAGAGTGATGCCCACCCCTGCTTGACCGATAGTTGCCGCATCAGCGTCTCCGGATGATTGTAACCAGTAGAAAGAAGCCAACTCAGGCGCATATAGTTCGACAACCACCTGAGGGTCGGTGATCCTAGTTTCGTACACACAACACAGGTCGGCACTCTGTGTATCCCATCTGCTTGCAAGCGCAACCTGTTGACCCTATTTGCCTTAGAGTGCGAAAGTTGAACGCGACCAGGGTAAAGGACATCATGACCTTACAAGTTGTTGTTCTCAATAGGAGTCCAGTAGATGCTGCAAGTGGCAAAGCTCCGTTGCTATTGCAGCTGCCGTCAACTAAGCTGGGAATTCGAAAATTAAGGTTTGTAATTGAGAGTCGGGTGATAAGTAACAGAAACGATTGGAAAAGAAACATCGGAGTCGCCAGCAGCAGTATGTTTTCGATTATCCGCTTTGCTGTAGGCAGAAGATCAGCGGATTTTTGAATCTGCGCGACTGCCGGTGTGTGATGTGGTTGACGATTGATGAAATACTATAGTTACACATTAGCTGAGATATTGCCAGTGCACACAAACCTAGACAGGATAACGGTTGCGACTCATTTTTCATCCATCCGCGTACGGATGAACGGGACTTTAATCTATAGAACAACTAGGCGGTTTCCACCCTAGACGTGTTGTGTGGACCATTTTTTTACTTTTCAGTTGATGTTTGAGCAACATCGCGGCCGGCCCATAACTTTAAGAACACTTTCGAATCCCTCCATCATATTCTACATGGTTGCTTAGTATAGTGCTCCCACAAAATATGAACATTTTGCGCGCCATCTACTTAAATATCACAGGTTTCACTCCCTGGATTCTTAAGTGCATATTTAAATTTCGTCCGGCTTATGCGTACGATATCATCTTTCTGTTTGACAATCGTGAGGTGCCGCAGTCAGCCATAGCATCGCTCTGCGCTTCCAAAGTGTGGAATGCTTTTGCATGACCACCATCTTCTGGATAGCTCATTGACTAAGGGTAGTTGGTCGATTCACTTATTGAAACAGCTAGATCTGTGTTTTTGGCTCTACGCTTCATGGCGCCAGAAGTTGATTTTCCCTGATCTGAAAAGCCTTGAATGGAAGCCTTTCTTTTTATAAGAATAAAAGTTGAACATTTCAATCTGATTATCTTGAGCATCTTCGATGACGCTCACGTTCAGAGCCTTGCTGCTGTTGCAGGACATAACTTGTCTACGGCGATGCGGCGGGTACTAGACTGTGCTAATCAAAATGGTCTAGAGCGGATGAGTCCCAACTAGTGCAAGCGGACTAAGTTTCCGACCTGCCTTATCTTGCTTTGGTAAGGTAATCAATCGTTATTCTTTAAACTGAAGAACCTGCACCTTGGCTATTTTTTACGCAACGTGATAATTTCTCGGAATGTATGTGAACATCTAATGAGGATGCTTGAAATGCCTGAATTCACAGCATCCTGTCAAATGTTGCTCCTCCTTATTTTGACATTTTTAAAAGGAACATCCTGCATAAATAAGTTAGTTTAGCCACATGCTATGCATGACCGTTCATCGGTTACCGCTGGTGGTCTTATTTTGTGTTGAAGTAGGATGACGGAAGGCGAAAGTTAACTTGGTATCGGAAAATGAAGTCACTGGCTACAGACCTAGGTTCTGTTGATTCGTCCCGTCTGTTCCCATTTGCAACCCAGTCAACCCACATTAAGCTTGGCTCGAACTTTGACGGGACATGGTTAGCAATCGTCACCAGTAAAGCATTGTTATCGTCTCCTATTCGGATTATCTGTCCAAAATGTGTGATGCTGTCTCATCTGTGGGGCAGTAAACGCAGGAAGGAAGCTGTCTTGCAAGTGCCACGTTATCTTCGCACACTAGTCAGTTGATCGTCGCCATATGCTGTTTACTATAGGTAGACTGCTTGACGCTGTTTACTTTCATTTGCATTTAACACAACGTTTCTTTTCTCCCTTTGTCATTAATATTCATTCCATTGGTCACCGCGGTTGTATTTCAGCGCATCACCACCTCAAAATGTTGATATACTGCTATTACTGTTATCGTTGTTAGGGATTATGCGACGAGAGTATTCTATTTACTTTGTACATGTTTTTGCGCGGCCTTTAATTTCTACAGACTGTTCGACTACACGAAAAGCCAGTTAAAGTGGTGAAGGCTCGCATGTCTTTGAAACGCAAACTTCTCCAAGGTACAGACAATACGCCAGCTACTGTTGAACTGTTCGGCCCTTGGCAATTGGAGGACTACAAGCCACCTGTTGCTCAGAACGGTGTTGTGCCTCGGAACGAACATGGGACCGTGGATATGTTCAAACCGTGCATGCTTCCCATCGGATGCGCCCACATTTGCTTAACTGGTAAGCGTTTCTCTTCATTTGGTCAGTTTGTCCATCATTTGTATCATGCCTCCCGCATGCTACCTTGCCCGTAACACGTTATTTTCGAATCATGCATTCGTAATACTATCTTTTACTGATATCATCGTTTCTGGATTGCCTTTTGACTGAGCACCCATATGACGGCTGCATCAACACTGGCAGTGGAGCCATGAATGGCTTGCGATGAATCACGTGCAGGCTCTCTTCAAAACACACCCGCAAGAATTGGACCAGAACTCATGCGACTGACGGGTATGTATGCACTCATTTCTCTTCAGTAGGACTATTGAAGTTGTTTATAGAGGAACTGACATTTCGAATTTTCTTCGTGGTCCTGCGAAAGCATCCCGTTGGCTTCTTTCGTGTTCTATCTTCAACATCTGACGATTCCTAATCTGTGCGCAAAATTCCTTCTTGGTCAACTTTCTATGTCACTTCTCCTTTATCACCAGGGAATTCAACATCATATGCGCATCTTTATTCAATCAAAAAAGAACTGTGCAATGGCCTGGATGAATTACATGAACAACCACGACACTTATCAATCGACCCGTCTCCGTTAACCAAGTATAGTCTTGGTGCTGAAATGCAATATGTCCAGCGATTCTGGCTATATTCGCAATGGGAATGGGTTGGGAAGAAGAACGTAACCAGGTGGAAGTTTCGCTTAAGATCCCAGTGGCTCCGGATTCATGTGCCTTCTCTCTCTCTCTACTTGATGAGAGCAAGGATGTTCGAAGCCATTCGTGGAGTGCGTCACTTGCGGGCGGGCGGACAACAGTCAGTATCCATTTACCTCATTAGTTACGGTCTCAGTGAGCTAGTTGACCAAGGTTCACTTCAATACGAAACGCAGCCCACATTGAGATTGTGCATTGCCATCCATCCACACAATGAGTGCTTCAAAATGACCCCTCCAATTAATCGGGTGGGATTTTAACGATCAGTTGCGGGCGATCGGATGCAGGAGCTCTGTCTTCGGCGTTTGGATAATATCTTCCACTAATGCGAACCATCCTTGCGAATTATATCAGTCGTTCTCTTCATTCCTTTCTTCAACTCACTGACTCGCCGTCCTGCAGTTTTGCCTAATTAGATCGGGCAACAACAAATAGAGCACACTGAAACAGAACAACCTAGGAGGTATCAACATTACGCACTGCTGCTTCGCTGTCATGCAGTCGGAAGCGGTTTTGCTCGAGCTACGTTACCGCAGGATCGTCCGTTCATAGGTTGGAGCAGAGCTTCCAACCCGGGACACAAAGGCTGCAACCCGGACACCTAAATGATTACGTTATATCTTCCCTACACAAGTCGTTAACGGGTGTACGGAAGATATTATTGTCGTATCTGTGACCAATCTTTTCTTCGCGGGCGAGGCCTTCAAATTAGCTGTTCCTTTTCTCCATGGAGTACCATTTTTTACCCCTATCTACTTCAGATTTATCAATTTTGTCGTTACGATCTCGCATTTTTATTTATTTGGATCATTCTGAGGTCATCAATGTTATCCCACTCTGTCGACTTTTTGGAATTGTTCCGGGACGCCGCGGGAGGCGCGCCTTATGTCGCATTTGATCATAAAGTCAGCAATCATCAAACCAATTTAAACGACGATTTGGTAAAATGAGGAATTACCGTGCTGGGTGGCAAGCTAGACTCTGATGCTGTCCTATTAATAAAATGTGAATTCCACCATGTCTCTCTAGCATTGTGCGCTCTCTGTTGGGTAAAATTGCCGATCTCATTGTCACTATTCAGCGTAAGGAATATACAAATACGAGTGTTATGCTGCTACAGGAAAGTAATTACATCATGATGTGAACGGTGACGTTATTCAACTCAATGCATACCGCGTCTTGAAGTCCGACCGCCTTGGAAAGGCGCAGGATTGCGGAAGTGGTGGCATCACTTATATCCACCATTTATTGTAATTCGGTTACCTTGATGTCTACATACTCAACATCAAAAATTTGCTGTCTTGTAATCGAGTATAAACCGAAATTTCTGAGTGGATTTTGTCTGTCGTCATGGGAAAACTCTGCGTAGCCCCCGACACATCATCGAGTGGGCTCGAAAATTTCACGGCTGATTTCTTGCCAGACTTATTGTGTGCTCTGTCTGCATCGTTGCTGGTGACTTTGATAAATGATACGTCATTCATCGAAACACTTGGTCTAGAAAATACGGTGTCTTTCGGAACCAGTCTTGACGCACAGTTGGATTTTGTTTTCGAAAACATTACTCGGTTTCTACTTTAAAGCGGGCTCCTCTCGCCAACTCAGACCTCTGCGTCCTTAAGATTAGCCGTCATTTACAGCAAGACCAACATTGTATCTTTTACTAGGAAACCCTGCAAAGTCATCAGAAGGCCATACGGCTCGACAGAAAATATCACAAAACCCCATGCGATGCTTGCTTCAACTGACTCTCTGACCTCTGACCCACGAGGTCACACGAGGTCGACTGTCGTGGCTTAACATACAGCGCTGTCAGCATCCAATTAACTCGCTCCAGTAGTAACGACTTGTAATGTCTGTCTGTACATTTTGATTTGCATATAATTGTATAAGCCTGAAGATGAATTATCGAAAACATATGTTCGCTTACCCTGACTTCTGATCATACAATGGGATTTTTCAACTGACTCAGTTTTCACGGACGAAAATCTACATTTGGTGTGTGATCACTTTACCGATCATATCAACTTCTGTTTTATTCTATACTACCATGTTGAAACTATCTACCCTCGCGTGAACAGATTCTTTTCGCCACTACTGAGGCAACTTAGACGGAAGAAAAGCGGACATACGAATTCAAAATGTCTACCCAAGTTAAACGACTATCATTGGCTATAAAATCAAAGATAATGCGCTTGAGTCGTTTTTGCGTTGAAACTGTGTTAGGTTATCACGAGTATTGTGACCTATGGAGGCTTCTAAAGCATCTGTATAACAAAAGTTCTCTAAAGCATTTTGATAACCTGGATGTGGACAGACTCAATGCTGAGTTTTGTTCTTCCCCACAGGTCATATGTTCTTTGCTCTCCTTCACCAACACAAGTCCGTCAGTCGTCCTTGGTCGCTTGAATGTTTAGGGAACTGAAATTGAAGATAACTGTGGCTGCTGAACCTGACGCTTTATCCCCATTCGTTCTAAAGCAGCGCGCGCATTGTCTTGCAGTGTCCTCAACCGCTTTGTTCAACGCTGTCTTAGGAGCGACACAATCCACAACATTTGGAAACCTGTAAGGATAATGTCTGTGTCCAAGAAGTGGTATTAAAGCTATCTTCCGATTGTGTGTACTTCGGTGATATTGAAAGTCTTCGAAAAATTACTTGTCCCCACATTTTCAAACGCACTTACGCAGACGATGTGTATCACTTTGCTTATAAACCCAACCGATTCACACTGGATGCTATGTCGTATCTCGTACATTCGGTATCATCGGCACTGGATGAAAGATCTAGAGAAGTGCGCTTGCTTTTTCTTGACTATTCAAATGCTTTCGGGAGCGTTAACAGATCATCTCTACTCAACCAGCTGCTTACGAGTGGGGTTCATACTAATGTCTGCAGCGTGCTTACAGACTATTTTACAAACCCTACCCACTTCACCTAGCTTCACGGAAAAAGCCTCTACACTTTACTCCTATCGTGGCGTTTTACAAAGGGCGATTCTCTCTCCTCCCCACTGTTTTCTTTATATTTCAGAGACCTTCCTATACCGTCCAACTTTATTGTATGAAAGTATGTACATGATGTTATGGGAAGTATAGCCCCAAACGTTGAGACATCTATTCTTCAGAGTGGTCTGGATGAATTTGGGCTGGGTCCATCGTTCCGATCTCTCATTCTGAACATTGTTAATGCCGTGATATAATCTTATCTTCGGACTGATAAGCTACAAGCTGTTTCCAGTGTCAGTTGTTCACTGGCAATGAGTGATCAACTCATACTTGGGACGTCAACTGTAAAATGTTTAGGAGTCTTTTTATCCCAAAACCTTTCTTGGTCTACCCATATGGCCAAAACGCCTCACAGGGTTAAAAGCCTATCCTTTTATGCACAGACTTAACATACTTTCGGTACCTCATGATTTAATTCTTTACTTCGTGACTGCATGCATTCTGCCTCACTGGCTTTACTGTTCCCCAATAATTTCCCTGGGCTATTCAACAAAGACTACACATTGTTTGTGCGCTCGTTAAAAATTATTTCCAGATGCAGTGGACCGTCTAGAGAGGCACTTGTTGATCTTATTATCAGCAAACATGTGGACACTTTTACTAGTTTTTTCTTTAACATTCTAAACGACCCTTTGCACCCACTGCATAGTCCTTTACCGATAGCGCTGTCTGTTTTTCTACACATTCTACATTCAGTCTTAATTTTTCGTACTGCTTCTCATTACAGTTCCATCTTACCGTATTTGTCACTACTACTTGTTGACCCAACGAAACTCATTAGTGTGGTACGCATTTGTTTGCTTGAGTGATACTCCATGTCTTTGTGTTGGACTCCTTACTTGCTTCTATCCATTAATTTCATGTATTTCTCTATTCGCAGTGACAGTGTAAAATGCTGAAAATGTATCTACTCAAGTGCATGAATCCTATTTTGACTTTCACCTAGAGTTTTGCAGACAATCCAAAGTGACTCCACAAGTTTTCATTGGCAATAAGTGTGTTTCCATAAATAGGAGTAATATAGACACATCCTCAGTCAAGGCCCCCTTTCATTTTGTCATAAGTCCGGCCGATCGCGTGCCGCGGTCTATCTGCCTTCTTCTATATTGTCGGCTTCTTTGCCTATTTCGTGTCGATTAACACCGCCAATGACCCGTCCGGCACTATGCGACTTTCTTCTGATGGTGGATCTAACGGATACTGTCGGATATTTTCTGCTACGAAACTATTGCTGTTTCACATCTGTTCCATCATTTTTAACTTTCCTACTCTATTTGATGTTCTTTGTTCTTACCCATTTGCTTTGAATTATCAATAATACCATCCACCGCATCTTGGTTACGGATGATAGTTGAACAGTTGGGTTGATCTAAAATGCTCCAATCATGGCACATTTGTTTGAGCCACTGGATTATTCAAGTTTTGTTTTGGAGTACCCGCCGTGTAAATCTGAGTGGTGGAAAACCAGACGTTTGATAGGCACGTTTTGTTTCTCAGGTAACTTAACCATTCAACTATTTCGACCGTAGTGGCTCATCCAGTTTACCCTACATCGTGTGACATGCTTATTTTTATTCTCTTCATACTTCTTATCGCCGTTCGATGATGTCGATATGTGCCATCGTTTGCAGTTTATGTGAGATTGCAGATTATGCACTGGTCCTTCTGTCAGTTCGAGACCCAAGCCATCCGGCCCTCACATCTTTGACACAAGTTACTCCACTCTCTATGCCAACGAGTTTATCATCCCATCCCCCCAAATATCCGATAACACTATGTTTTTATTGTATTTTTCGTCCATGGATCTTCGTGCTTTTTCTTCTAGGTATTCAGCATGTCGCCAAAAAGCTGGGCATAGATTGTGCTCCAGCGATCGTTGGATGGAACTTCAAGGGTTCTGGCTGGGCCATTCCGATCATCAACGGATACATTGTGTGCAAAGAAAATGCTCGAACTTTGATCGATGCATGGCGAACAGTTCGCATGGATGCCGCCAAGGCGGCTGCCGAAGAACGTTCATCCAGGGCAGTTGACAACTGGTGCCGATTGGTTCGAGGTCTCTTCTTGTGGAACAAAGTGAAAGCACAGTTTGCCCTAGCAGCTTTGCATGATGCTGCCCCATCCAAAAGATCCAAACCTCCCACTCTTGAGGAGAACGCACTTGGACTGACCAGCATGAGGCGACAGAAGCCCGGGACCATTGCTACCTCCGGGACTACTTCTGGGCGCATGACAGCTTCCGCTTCCGCTAAACTCGATGAATCGGGATCTGAGTCGGACTCGGGCAACTGGCAACATTTATCTACTTCGGTCTGCACTCCCCAACCTGTAGCCCTCCTTCGCTCTCTTTCAGCTGCCACACCCAAACGTGGGCGTCGTGTCTCACGATCACAGCGGTCGCAACCACGGAAGCGTCCCGTTCCCAGGAACGAGGCAAAAAGCAATTCATCGACTAGCGAGGATGTTGAAGTGAAGTCGGGTTCGGGACTCCCCGATTCGGAAGATAGCGGCCTCTTTTTTTCCCCTTCCACCGATCCCGCACTTAATGAGATCGAGCCCAAATAAACCTGCTCTACAGATCAGGTAAGAGCCATGTCTTTGATATTCACGACAATAGTGCGAATAATAGTCATACTTTTGCGTTACGCTGCTTCTTATTTAGGGTATAAAACCCGAACGCAGTTGCTCTGTTGCTTGCGCCGCCTTTAAGCTTCAATATTCAGCTACCTGAAAGCTCTTGGACCCTTTGGGCGTAATGATATTTCTGACTGATATTGCAGTGCAGCTGTCGGCTCCAGTGGATTCCATTCCCAATGCTCGCATCAGTTTTCTCTTATTTGCCAAAAGTATTCGCCACTTCTGGCTTTCACTTTGTAAATATCAGGTTCTTCAGCTCACTAAAATGTCCACTCCTATTGTGGGTCGTTTTTGCACGCGTTAAGGGGTACTATGTGATCGGTCATCAAGCGCACTACGAAGCAGCCTTGTGCTCTCCTAATCAGCCTCCGATCTACACGCTTGCGGACCCGCTTAGGATGTTGTCCCTAGGTTATCCATCGTAGGTCTATCATTGGAGTCATTACGAAACAAACTACCTCATCCCCTTGTACTATCCTGGATCGGCGTTAACCACCCAATCTTTCGACGATTTTCTGTTGATTCGCTGCTGCTGTTCTCTGCTCGATGTTTCATCCAACCACTAACCTCTTTGCTATATCGAGTAGCCATTCGAGGTAGCCACTTTAATAGTTAACCTGCTGTCAACCAAACATTCTTCCAGCACCATATATATGTAGACCAGTTCATTTACGTAAAGTGAGAAAAGGGGTAAAATTAGCCACTTTCACATGCTTATTCCTTCTATCTTTCTTAGGCCTCCGTTGGACGGTTTTTTTCTCATGGAGGTCATCCTGCTGCATTCGAACTGAATTGTATTCTCCTCCGCATTTTCGCCACAACTTCTTGTTTATCTCCCTCTCGTATTTTTTACTACTCAGATTCCACTTCTCAGTTTTAACCTTAGTGCATTTATTATCTTTATTGCTTTTCATACTGACTTTAAATATACTGCGCCTGCTTTCAGTGCATTGCGTTTTGTTTTTTTAAAATGAAGGAATTGTGTTCTACTTTTCTGCCTGTTTGTTGGTGGCTACAGGTTCGTTTGCACCCAATGCGTCACTGCATTTTATCTGATGTGGTTTCGGGATAGTTGACTCCCGGGCATAATTCCTGAGGACGCGCGTATTGTAGAAGGGGTTTGTTCAACAGATCTTCCTACCCCTGTCCACACCTCATTTGTGACAGGATAGTCATCCGGTCCAAACTAACCCTTGGAGAGGACTCTTCTCTGTTCTGGTTTTTATACTAAGCGATCGTTCAACTCATTTGGACTGGTTTTCTATGGTGGCGGTTGTCGACTTTTTGCGTGTTTTCAATCCAGTTTTCCTCTCCAAGTTGACGAAGCGTCTTCCTTATATCCTTTCTTCTGATGCTACCGATGGTTGTTAACTTTCCATCAGTCACTGCCACTAAACAGGCTAGTTTGTCAGGTTCGTGTAGCTTTTCGTGGCCTCATGGTTCGCCGTCCTGTCTCGTCATCATCGCATGCGGTTTGAGGGTGACCGAGTAGCTATCACCAGATTGATCGGTTTTGGTCCATCCAACTTGCTACTCACCTACTCAACATCATTCCACACGCTAGCACCTAATCTCACCCCCTGTGCCCTCGGGTGAGTTGCATCACCAGGTGTGCGGCTCGTCGATTAATTCACTCACTTCGGTATTTTGTTTACTCAGCTGTTGAACTGTTTGGTGCTAAGCATAATAGTCGTATGCTCAACTCACATGTCTCCTTCCCAACAGCATCCCCTTCACTGTCGGTCGAACTTCTGTTCGTTTCGTCTCAACTAGGCATATTTCTTATTCGATTTCTTCTGTGTAGTTTGTGGCCAGTTCAATATTATTTCGGACCACAATTGTGTAGCCTGTGGAGTGCCGACGCCAGCGACCATTTGGTTTTACAGATTTGGTGTGGCATCTTTTGGATTGTCTTCACATGTTAGTACCGAGTACTGTGTTTCTCCACGTATATGATGTAAGGTATCCGAGTTCTGATTATGTTTGCAGGACCAAGGTACCCACACCGTTACATTACACGTTCACAACCACCCGGCGAACCGGCAGTTGGAGATAAGGCAGCATGGGCTAGTCAGTTTCCTTACGGCCTCCTCTGCCGCGCTCCCCTTTCCTGCTCAGTCCACAATAAATCTAGCATCGGTTGCAATTTAGACAAGTGGCATGGATTGGAAGCGGTAGCAGACGTGCTACTAGTGCCGACATCGAGACACTTCACTAAATGCTTCCATATAAACACAAAGCTGGTCACCTGGATCACAGCGTGCGAGGTGAGATTGATCAAAAGCAGTAACATTGCTGATCAGTAGTGGACATTCTGTTATGATTTCAGAGGTAATTCGTTCCAGTCCCCTTTCTGTCATCAGTCTTCGACACGTCTGGAAAAGCACCAGACAGCTGTTTCGACCTTCTGGGTCTTATCAGTGATGCGCCTTCCTCGGACCCCTGCCCGGTTCCGACCTCATTACTTTCGGATGACAGCAGCTTGTGCCACTAAGCCATGGGTGGTGGCCACGGGCCTGCATGTATAACGGTTGACTACGATATAGCCCGGCTCATCCTCCACTGCCATACCACTTACGAACTGTGCAGAGGACAGGGGTTGGCCCCACGGACCTAGGACTTTATACATAGGGATTGTGTACCACATAGCAATTAGAAGATATACGGACGGCTTTTGGATAACTGTATGGCAGTGAAGGATGAGTCAGGGCTATATCCTACTCAACCGTTAACCTTGTAGGTCCATGGCTCAGTGGTACAAGCTGCTGGCATCCAAAAGTAATATGGTCGGAACCGGGCAGTGGTCTGAGGAAGGCGTATCACTGACGAGACCCAGAAGGTTGAAACAACTATCTGGTGCTTTTCCAAACGTATCGAAGCCTGCTGACTAAATACTGAGAATAGAGAGCGAGAAGCTAAAATTCTGTGTTGCTCCATCGTAGGTGGATTGGGCACCTGCGCGGTGGCAGCATATTGCAGCTGCACTACATCTTATCCGGGTTCGATACACTCCCTATACCTGTAGTCCGCAAAGTGGGCGTCAAGGAATCTCTTAAAATCGGACACCGATTTCGCCTCGACTAGCCTCTCCGGCAATTTGATCCACTATTTCACCACTCGAACCATAGACAGTGAGCGATGTGCTTTAAATCCAGTACCACTAGTTTGTACCAGTGTCCGCGTGTGCTGCTTGGTTCACGAACGTGCATCAGCGGCTTCAACATAGGGAAGTAGCCCAGGTGCAGTATCCGGTGCGTTATAATGAAATCAACTCGAATCCGACGATATGACATTGTATAAAGCCCTAGTCTCCTACATCCGTCCTCATACGACATACCCCGTAGCCTGGGGATGAGCCGTTCCAGTCTGGACCTCACCTGTTGTGGTCGGGCAGTAGGTGGGTGAGCCGTACTCAAGCACCGGTCTTATTATGGAAGAGAACAGACGGGTGGCAATATCTTCAGACCAAGTGCAGCAGCTGCGTTTAAGTGCCCAAAGCAGGCCTAGTCCGTTTGCGTGCACTCTGTTCGTGTTGTCGACAGAGGCCAGATCACAGCGTGAGAGTACGCCTAGATCCTTTACGGAACTGGTTAGATGCAACGGGTGGCCGACCATGGTGTACGCACGCCCATTACCACCCCTCCACAGGCTCATAAAGGAGGACTTGGCCGTTTTGACCGGTAGGTCAGCTTATGCAGACCACTGGGATAGACGGTCGAGGTCCTGCTTAAGTACGTCACAGTCGCCGGGGGAATCGATAATCCTCCAAATCTTCAGGTCATTCGCAAATAAAACGCAGGGCGGCCGAAGAAGCTGAGTTACTTCGTTGATGTGAATCAGGAATAAAATGGGGCCCAGTACTGTGCCTTGAGGTACGCTGCTAGTGGACGGGTACCATTGCGTTAGGTGATCATCCACCTGAATCCGCCATCTTCTCCCAATAAGAAAGTCACTGGTGCAGTGGGCCACCACAACACCACACATCCTCAGCTTGTGGAGCAGGATCTCATGGTTCCCTTGCTTTGCTGAAATCAATGTAGAGAACGTCCACCGACTTCCCCCGATTCAACGCTTGCAACCATTCCTGCCGTGTCAACAGCAGGTTGGTGATGCACGAACGGCCGTTCATGAAGCCGTGCTGTGTCATCTCCCACATAAATTGCAGACATCGTTCGTCACCTGAAGCTGAAGAAAGCCCCGGGAGCGGACGGGATTCCAGCGGAAATCTACAAATCTTCTCTACCAGCTCTCCTTGACCAGTTGCACGAGCCCTTCTGCTCGATATGGGAGACTGAAATCTGTCCTTCCTCGTGCAGTACCTCAGTACTACTGCCATTTCCCAAGAAAGGTGACCGAGCTGTGTACAGTAATTATCGCGGGATTAGCCTAATCGATGTGGCTGCCAAAACCTTCACACGAATCTTGCTTTCCTGCTTTGCCAATAAGAGGAATCTGCGAACTCATCATAACCAATGTGGCTTTCATCCAGGCAGAGGCTGCGCTGACCAAATCTTCACTCTACCTCGAACACCGCTACCAGTTCCAGCAGCCCACGTTTGTGTGCTTCGTTGATTTTCAAGCTGTCTTTGACTCAGTTGACCGCGAAGCAATCTGGAGAATCCTACTTGCCAATGGTGTGCCGGTTAAGCTCGTTAACTTGAGGAGATCATACTACCGTTGCATGTAGGCCCGGATTCTGGTGTATGGAGAAGAAACAGAGGAATTCGACATCAGTACTGGAGTCCAGCAGGGTTGTCCACTTTCTCCAGTGCTGTACAACTTCGCAGTTGACTGATTTATGCATCATGCCCTTGAGGGCTATCGTGATGTTCAAGTTAACCCTGACGTCTGGCTGTCAGATCTAGAATTTGCTGACTATATCGCTATCCTTGCGGAAGATACTATATCACTACAATCACTGCTAAATCGGGTCGACCAATCAGCCTTTATGATTGGCCTCCAAACTAACATCAGCAAGACGAAATACTTCTCATCGTTAGCCACCCAGTCCGCTCCGTCGCTCTCCTTACATGGACAACTCATCGTATCTGTTCCTGAGTTCAAGTATCTTGGATCCACCATACTCCCTAATGGTCAGGCTACATCCGGAATCGTATTGACAACGCTAGAACAGCCTTCTTACAACTGAGAAACACAGTGTGGCGAAGGACGGAAATTAGTCTAAGAACGAAGCTCCGAGTATTCTCAGTAACCATTCGTGCCATTTTACTCTATGGTTGCGAAACATGGCCGCTGTGATCCGAAGACACCCGGAAGGTGAAAGTTTCCGACCATTGGTGTCTAAGGCTTATTTTGAAAACGCAGTGGCATGTGCGTATCACCAATGACGAAATCCGTAAGCGTTGTTACGGTCTTCCGAAGCTCACAACGCTCGTCCAACGCCGCAGACGTCAGTGGTTGGGTCACGTCCTCCACAGACCAGACACTTACTTCACTAGGGCCGTGGTTTCATCCTCGACTTGCCAGCGTTGGTGTCGTCGCCATGGTGGACAATTGAAAACGTGGCTCTCCGCAGTGAAATCGGATGTCGATCTACTGGGACTCCATGTTGTGCATGGTGCTCGTCACTGGAGAAATCGTTGGATCAGTATCTGCGTGGAGCTTGCAGCCAATCGCCGCGCTCGGGCAGCTGCAATTTGCGACATTCATGAAGCCGACTTATCCTGTCGCAGGAGCTAGCCGCAGTAAAGTAAAGTAAGCTGTGCAGGCGTTATATCTTTCGACTCCAGCAGTTGGAGAAGACCCTTTTTCATAATCTTCTCAATCACGTTCGCCAAAACAGGTGAGACAAATTTGCCGGTAATTTTAAAACAGTTTTTTTAGTAACTTAAAAAGCACAAATAGAAGACGAAGTTCGGCAGATGCATGCATTTCGTATCGTCTCATCAGTGCCGATAACGATAACCGGTAATTTTATATAACAGTTTGTGGGTACAGATATCCATACAAGCAAACGCGAGAAAAAGGGTCTTTCGTCTACAACCAGGGCAGCCTGAGGCTGATCGATAATTGTTTTTGA